TGACTTTCTCAGTAGTATTTGAAAATAATCAGAAAGATTTTGGAAGGCTGTAAGTCATTGTTGCTCTCTTTCACCTCATCAATCCTCCAGACCATTTTGATGATCCACAGAAGCCTGGACCCCCATGAAACTCGCCTCCTCACAGAAGTCATTTTGCAAAATGAGAAAGGCCTCAACGTCATCCATCACTCAAGAGCAACATACACCTACCACAAATGCCCAGTATTCAGCTGTCAGTCTGCAGTGGGAGAAGAAAAGCTTTGTAGTCCAAGTAGGTGAAGAGGAAGAGACAGCCAGGTTGGCTATGCAGAGCAAGGCACAAGATTATTATTCCTGTTGATACACTGACATCATTAATTTCAACATCACGTAAATTCAGAATTAGCAAAACTGCCATTCCTATGGTCCTCCACTTACTCCAGTGCTGATCATAATGATTCAGGTGAGGATACCCTTCTATTGTTGTTAGCTTTCAATCTCGCAATGATCTTTGAAATAGTTTTATCCAGACTATTTTCATTCCTGGGAACAAAGTAGTCTTTACTGCCTAGAGCTCAGGTAAATTGACTAAGTGGAATGCAAACTTTCACAGTCTTGCAAATAAAACTGTCTTCAAAAGAATGTTGAGCTGCCAGTGTGTACTTAATGTTTTTGCTTCAAAATTATTTAGCTATTACTACCAATTTCTCACATAGGTAATTTTCTATATGCCATTCAGATAACATTTATTTTTTTCAGAATTTATTAGAGCTTCTAAGAAATCTACAGTCCATAAAAAGTCTCTGTTAGGACTGGAAAACAGCCTACAGGGGCTGCATCTAAAATGTGTTAGAATGAAAAATCCTAAAAGACTTATAAGATGACTGTAGAAAAAGTCATGAAAAACTTCTGTTGCTTAAAAGTAACTGTTTATTACAAATACAACCTCAAAAATCAATACTTGAGTATCACAGAACACCCATTTGCCACCATCTTTCAACTGCACAGCACAGTCACTATCTGTGTTCTCATACCTATCCAAATGCTGCCTAAACATTACAAACATTTGAGATTACAAAGAATATTCTATAGTGTCAATCTCAAGCCCTCTTACCATTCATGCCTCATCAGCTTATGAAAGTATCATCAAACTGTGCAACAATCACCTTAAATTACTGGATATTGCTTTTTGCATTCTTCTTAGACTCCCTTGCTGCAAAGCAAAGGTTCCAAGTCTATACCATTCTCTTGCCATCAAGATAAAGTTTCTGCCTTCCTCTAGAATTCTGAACAATATTTTCTGACCTCCACTTTTTAAATACTTTGCACTAAGGAACTAAAGATTATTGCTTGTCTACCCTCACTTCTAATAATTAATCAACAAACATATCTTAAACACATACAAAGGCAATCAATGTCAAAAAGGAACACAAAAAACCCTTTTCTGTATATACTTCAGATACATTTATGTGAAGACATTAGTTTCTCCTTTTGCTCTTCTGATCTCTAGGCAAATTTTCACATATGAGGAAATAACAATTACTACCATATGTTTGCACTCTATCCCATCAGAATTTTTTGCATTATTTAGTCCTATTCAATTCATTGAAAAATGACTCAATATGTTGATTGATTTGTAATTGCTTCTGGCTATCAGTCAGACGTAATGACATTCTTGCCTCTGTGCATCCCAAGTATGACCATGTAAATGATCAGAGTTCTGACTCACAGTTTTAAATAAAACTTATCAGCACATTCTTCAAGTGACAAGGGAAGTCACTTGAGATTCAGTAAATCGGTTCAAAATATTTACTGGCTATTTCACAAAATAATTAAAATTTTCCTATTGCAGAGACCTTTACAGATCTTATCAGTTTTTAATTCAACTTCTCAACATCCACCAAAACAGTGAGATCTTAATATAGATCCTGCAAACACCTGGATAAAAAAAAATCAGTCTCTTCTTTATATTGCAGATCTAGAAAAGTGATTTTTATAATTAATTTAGCTGAAATTTCATCCACAGGGTGGGCTCTTAAAATAACAATATTTAATTCTGCATTTACTGGTACCATTCTTCTGTAATTCTCTATTTTTTTAAGATGAACTGTGGACTAACACAGCTTCCTTACATACAGATGCTCATGTGTGTATGCACAAGCACACAGGCTCTCCTCGTGCCATACCACTTAGCTCAATTAAATCACTGCTCTTACTCTTTGTACATACTCAGTGCTATCTGATCTTCCTGCTTTTATGAGGCTTGCAATGCATTTTGTGAATTTTCACAGGATTTCCCATTCTGTTGCAATTCATTTCCTATTACTTCTGCTACTTTCACAAGTTCTCACCAATGTTTTCATTTTCACATAAATGTAAATTCAATGCAAGTTAAAATTGTGAGCCTTCAACACTCCTCTCTATCTGACATAGTAGCTTTGTGAAGTACTTTTTATACTAAGAAGGATTTACCACTTTCTGGTTTTAGTGATCTCACCAAAATGAAAATGCACCTGGGGTTTTAGGAAGTACTGCTCCCATCGATTTCTTTAAAATTAACAATCTTCTCTCTGTGAGTCTAAGTAATTGGAAAGAATAAACTTTGTCTAATGTTGTCTATCATACGAAGCAAACAGTCAAATTTCTTTCTTGCAATTAGATCAAGAGAAACTGTCATCTGATGGCAATGTAAAACCATGGTAATAGCTTCTGAAGTGCTCCATACACTCCTATTTAGTTCCTCTTGATCAGTGTGGATCTCTAGCTCTGGTCATGGAAAAGATGCTCTAGGCACGAGGCTCTGAGCTCTGGGTAAGAGGCAGCTCTGGCAGAAGCCACTTCTGGACAGAAAGGTGAGGTTGTCTTTATTGCTGATGACTGAAATAAAAATGTTGTGACACCTGCTTGAGAAGCTCTGGACTAAAATAAAATTACTGCTTTCAATGGTAAGAGCACAGAGGAGACCCCATTGTTTTCACAACTGCATGGCAAAGGCCTCAATTCCAAATCCTGTTTGTTTTTTCTTTGTTTTGTTTTGTTTTTGTTTGTTTGTTTGTTTTTAATTACGTATTAAAAATAGATGGGGAAAACAAAAACAAAAACAAAAAAACCCAACAAGGTCTGCAAACCACAAAAGAGTCTGCAAAGTGTCTGCTTGTTAAACACTGCATCCTTGATATCTCAGATTAATTCAGACAAAGCATAAAAAAGTACCCAAGGAGAAACACAAGCCTTCTTGCATTGAGATCCCCCCACTCTCTAGAGGCATGATTTTATGTAAGTGTTCATGGACATGTGACATACCACAGAAAAGAGGGAAGAAAAATAACTGCAGTGGCTTGAAACAATCAGATTTATAGAGTAAAAGAACAGGAGGATACACTAAGAAATGTACTCATCAACTCAGTCAAATGATCAGCTCGGTTACTATAAAAGATTAACAAGTTTCCACTAATGGGACAGAGGTAGTGAGAAGAGAAAGGGAAAAAGTAAGCGAACGAAATCTTCCATTGAAAATGCAGTAAAGCAACTGTCGCTTAATCTGCGTGCAGTGAAGAACACTGCTCCACCTGGAGACCAGCCATCCCCGGGAATTAAATCAGCCAGATCAATAAAGTGTAAAGTGGACAGGAACAACTTTATAAAAGCCATTGCTGAGCTCAGAGACACTGTTAAATTATTACATCAGAACATTTTAAATCATGCAAAGCCAAACAACTTTCAAGATAAGCTTAAAACTCACTGAGGGCAAGGGCTACACTGATTGGAAGCATGACAAAAAGTAAAAAGAAAAGGAAATAATAAAACATCAGGCATTAGAAACAACAGCTTTACACACAAAACTGACTCATTTTAATTACCTTTAATCTATGTGAAACAAGAGAGGTGACATTTTTATAACTAAAAATATCAAATCAGTTTGCACATGGAACGAATCCTGGTATTCAATATTCAGACTGACCACAGCATTTCCAGCCGCATTATTAAGAAACAAAATCTCCCGGAGAATGCTGGAATTTAAGGACAGCTAGACCAGAGTCATTTGGCAGCTGTACATTTTTTGTCATCCTAATAAACATTTGAGTGAAAAAAATGGCGATGGGGAAAAAGCAGATGAGAAATGCAAGCACATACACATACATCCACACTGCAGACACATGAGAGTTTCTCAGTGTGAAGGCCTACCCTTTCCATCTAAGTGAATGTCACTGCAATGATGTTGGTAAGAAAGATGTTGATGTTTTTAGGCTTAAGTAGCCACTAACAGATATTTCATGCAGGCAAGTTCTTTTAAATTCTCAATTTATTTTCCTACAAATGTCTCGCTATTTTTGCTTAGTTACACACATATTCTTCAGGACAAATATGATCTCCTCTGAGTTTATAAACAGCTTAGTATAGAGTGAACAATGTCGCAGATGTATTTCTCAAGGCTTTTTTTTTCCCCAGGTGCAAAATTGCTAACAATTTCTTATGAAACCCATCATTTATAGAATTGAGATCTTAAATTATTTTATTTCAGTTATCACTACTGCATGTTTTCTGCTTCATTGTGGTGCTAAGGGTGACTATATTTTAAATAAGTGTTCATTAAACTAATTTAGGCATACTATCTCCACCAAACCCAAAAACTCTAATTCACAATTCCTACAATACAGACAACAGACAAACCTAACAGTGACATTCAATTTTGCTGCTTTCGTGAGTCTTCTGTTTTATTCTCTAGCATTTTATGTTAGTTATAAGAACCAATTTAGAATTGATGTAGATCTGTTATTGTATTCAAGGTAAAATTATATAAACTAGTAAACTCCATAGTTTTCTGTTTGCTGTTCTTAACCTTATCAAAATAAGGCTATAAAGCACAAGAAGGGCAATGTGCAGATCTTTCTGTCTATTTAATGTTTCATTGCTAAAATAGCATTATTTTAAGGTGGTACAAGTATGGATTTTATAGTTATCAAATTATGTCTATTTTAAAAACTGGATTCCTGTTTATAGGAGAAAAATATTGCTTTTACCTTACTGATAAGTGTGACGACATCACCTTCTCGGATTGTGAGTTCATCATCATTCTGTGCTTCGTATGGAAATATCACTTTGCAATACTCCTTGGCTGAAAGAAGAACATTCAATGTGATAAATCATCTTACAAGAACTGCTTATCCAAGGGTGAAAATCTTCATAAAATGATCCCAAACTGTCTCTGCACGGTGTTTCATTTTCTTGCCATTTTTCTTTTTGCAGTACAGAACTTCATAAATGCTATGAAATATTTAAAGAACTCCACACTGATGAGAATTCACATACACGTCAACCGTGGAGTCAGTTCTACAATCCCTAGAACCATTATTTTCCATTATACTCCTCCCTGTTGATCTTTGAAAGTCATGTGGCTGGTCCTGGGCACCCTGCTCTGGGCATCTCTGCTTGATAAGTGGTTGGATCCATCATTAACTCAAATAGAATTGCTCCTGACTGCAACCTGCCACAAACAATTTTCCTTGGAGGTGTCAGACCCATGTCTGACACTTGCTGCAGTACTGCCACGGGTGTAGCCCTCAAACAGCTAATGTAAATTGGAAGCAAAAAGGACCTAGTAGGCTAACATAGCTTATCTATCTCTGGTGTGCAAGAAAGAAAACATTTCCAATTCAATACCAATGATAAAAAAAAGAAGTAATACATTAATAATTGTAAAGACATTCATAACTAAATCCTCTGTATACTCAGCACAAAGGAAGACTTGAATATTAGTTTAACATTTCCTCTTCCCTTTCCATTCTATAAATAAAGGCACCAACTTTCATCTAGAAAATACAGGAGCCAGCACTCCCATTCAGAAATCTTAAAAAGCAGTTGTCATGAAAAGAGGTTACAACACGTTGCTGTGCAACAAATACTCCTACGTCAGCGTGTCTAACAAATAGAAAGTGAATGTGCATTCCAGCTATTAAATAATGTATACAGTGTGATATTCTAAAACAGCAGGCTTAAAAAGACCAAAGAAATGTTCACAGGAATTACTGGATCCTTTGTAAAAAGCGCATGTTACTTTCTAGAAGAGTTAAGCTCACACTCAGTTAAGAGTTAAGCTCAAATGTCTCAGTTTTGATGGCCTCTAACCACTACATCACAACTCATTTCAAAAAATGGAAGGGATGTCTAATTGCTAGTTCACTGTGATATGAATAAAGGCTTTGGATCTTTCTTTGTGGATGCAGTTGGGATGTTTAATCTGCACACTGCCCTGTCTTCCGGACACTACAGTAACACTGCGTCTACAATACAATGTTCCTTCATGGACTAACTATAAACTCCACATTAGGAGGGAAGTCTAGCAGAACGAATCACTAAACAGCAGAGAGCAGCCAGAAATGCACAGGAATAATACTATCCTGAAAGTGGTCAGCTCTCAGCCAAGGTGTGAATGAATTCCATGCATCTGAAGTTAAAGAACATTTTCATCAGCAACAGTCCGGTATTCATGTCTCTTGAATCCTGTAGTGGGCAAATTTTCATCAGTTCCTCCTTCTGTCTAAGGGGCCGTATATTTGAATAAGGATGAAGACATTGATCAACAGAGTTGACAGAAGGCTGTGGTTTTAGTGTTGAAAAATGTCTGTTGATAATCAGGTAATTAATTGCTCTCTTTCTTCTGTTCTTAAAATACTTCCTCTGAAAGTATGTGCCAATGTGGATGCCACAGTCAGTAGCTGGTCAGAACCAGCTAGACTAACTGAAAAACTCCTAGTCTTTCATACATAGGAAACTGCTATGAATCTTCACCTTGTAGATCTAGTATCAATAACTCTGTTATCGCGTGACCTCTCTGCCCTCCACATCAAACTCTGGACTTTTTTTTTTTTTTTTTAAATATTCAGATAGCAGAGAAATAAGGAATTAAGCTAGAAAAAAGTGACCCATCACAAAAAACCAAATCAAAACAAAACAAAAAAACCCACTGTGAGCACAGGCAAACGTTGATGCACTGCACAAAGAGCCAGGAGACATTTTTGGATAAGCATGAGAGAGAACTGAGAGTGGGACAAGAACGCAGGATGAAGGCACTGACATGGAAAAAATATCTTGGTTTATGTACATTATGGGGTTGGATTCCTTCAGTGTGATTCACATTGACATACACTAAATCAGTATGTTCCTCTGCCCAGTGAGGACCCTCTGAATCACACTGCAACAGAGCCAGGTCTCAAAAACACTGTTGGATTTGGGTGATTGGATAAAGTCAGCTTTCAAGCTTCTCTTATGAAAAAGCTGGTCTAGCATGACTTAAGTAAGCAAAACCAAAGTCAAACAGGATTCAAAGTAGTATGAACCTCCAAATTCAGATTAATAAAAGAAGAAAAACATCTAATAAAACATGTAACTTATGTACAAGAATTGTCCTTACTCAGCAGAGCACAATATATCAAAAGGATGTAATAGTACATAATTTCCACAGTTATGTTTAAATAGGAAGGAAAAAAAAAAGATAAAAGGCAATACTAATTTCAAATACAGCAGAGAGCACACAGTAACTTGCTGAATTTGGGCTTTTTGTAAGTAGGAAAAAAAAAAGGTTAAAGTAACATATCCAATTACAAGCATGGTAAATAGTTTTAAGCCAAATTAAAGCTTCAGACTAAGATACCAATATTAAGCATTTTACATTTGATACCCAAGGCTGGGTTTATAAATCACAGATGGTTCTTCCAGAAGCCTCCCTTTCTTTCCTCTGACCTGAAGATATGTTTTAAAAATATACCTCTCCATAAGCCCCCAGCAGTAGACATCTTGGAAACACTAAGGAAGGAGAAAAACGATATTCACGAGCTTTTCAGTCCTCATTTAATAATTCAACAACAATTTACTCTTTTAGACCACAGTCTCTGCTTATGTACTTGCAGCTGCTCCCAAGCAAAGGAAAACAACCTGTCATATACAATGGACATTTCTCAGGGGATTGAGTGAGCAGATGAACCTTGCCATATGTCTTGAAACTCAAACAAGTTGGATCTAATGCAAGATGTTCAGTTTCTTGCCTTATACATTCTAAGCTGAGAGAGCATGGGCTAGGTACAATACCATTAAAAAATATGCATCCCCGAGTACCTTCCATGATTTTTGAACCACAGTGTCTCAGCTAGACTAGAAACAATGATGACACAACAACAAGCACTTTATTTTCTCTGCCCACAACCCCTGCAATCCAATCCTTCGAAATGAAGAACAAAGTCATTGCTAGATTCTTTGACAGAGCCCCAAGAGTTTCCCAGAATCATCCTCATCAGTCAAAAGCTGCAAGAATAAACAGCAAGCAAGGAACTAGATATTTATAACAAGTTGCTTGCCACTGCCCATGCTACACTGAGGAAATAGTCTCAGGACTACCCCAAACAATAAATAAGGCTATCCTCTAATAAGAACTGGATGATTTAGGGGGATAGTTAACATGCATCTTCTTTTAACACCTATGACCCACACTCTGTCCTGCATTCAAAATATGGGCTATTTGATACAGCCTTAAGCTTCAGAAAAATATTTCCTCAAAGAGGGAAAAAGGCAGCAACAGATGGCCTTCCTACAGAATACAGCTGCTGCATTATCTAGGCTGTCACAAGCACTGTACTTCACCCACAGAACGCAGTGGCTTGATGTACATTTATTTTGAGAGACTGGTTAAATATTGTACTGTCCAAACCAGAACTGGGCAAACTGAATTTACTGCATCAACAGAACCTGCACATTTTAAAAGGATGCCTCTTCTATTTGTTCTTCTGCCAGACTCATAGAATGAGATGAGACATTCAAGACCACTGTCCTCAGACGTACATACCCTTTCACGTAAGTGGCACAGGGGATACTCACTCTGGAATTTGCTTTTCTTAGGCTACGATGATCTAGGTTCCTCTGCTTACTTCTGCTGCTCTTTCCTTAGTGTTAGGCAACATCTGTTCTGCCTCAAGGGAAAATCTGCTCCATCTCACATAATCTTACTACCGGGCATTGAATTTACCTGTCTGGCTTTTCAGAAATTGATAGTTAGTTTTTAGTAAAGCAAACAACCATCAGATATAGCTGATTTTTGAGGCTTAAATATTTCTCCTTCGATGAAGTCTAAATCATACAGAAATATTAAGTGAGAAAACTAGCAGCATTAATTTAGTTATCTTTGGGTTTAAGCTTCCTCTTTTTAACTACTGCTCAAATAAAGGCTTTCTGAAATTGAACAAAATCTACAGTGTCTAGGGAAAAATTACATAATTGTTACCAAAAACATAAAACAGATGGGAAAAAAAAACCCAACAACTCAGCAGAATTTGGCTTTATCATTAATCACTGCCTTCAAGATTCATAAATGGATAGCACTAAAAAAATTTCATGGAACTGCAACAGACTCAAAGGATCAAAACACCACCTCATTAAACAAAACAAAACAAAAATATCCGGAACTAATTAGGGCCTCATTAATCCAGACTCAGCAGCTCCTCATACTCTATCGTCATGCAAGAAGCTTAGCACTTGCTAGGATTTTGGTATTCCTATTATGTAATTGGTTAACACGAACTGTAAATAATCAGTGAGTGGAGTAATCAAATTAAGTATCACGGTCAGTGCGCTTTCTGACTCACTGTCGTTGCTTTTTTGCTGTCTGTGCACTTACACTCCATTTTTGCAGTCTCAGTAAGCTGTAATGGTTCTGTCAGTCACTGTGAATGCTTTGCTGAATTCCAAAATCCAGCAGAGCTACTTGAAAATTGATATGTATTATCTACAAAACAGCCTTTCCACTGCAAGACACTTAAAGTAAAGGCAAGCTATTTCATTGCAAAATAAATAATAAGATAAATAATCTCATCACCCCAGAGGTTTTTATCCTGTATAAGTATAAATACACATAAGTCTGAGCCACATATAAAACAGTTGAAAATTCAACAGCAGATTTATTCCCCTAGAAGACCATGCAGGCACAAACCTAAAACAAACAGTTCTTCCCTCTTCTATTCAAAGATGCATTCTTTTATTCCTAAAAAGTTACTGACATTTCCTTTCCCTTTCTGTTTTCCAAGGGACCACTAGAGCTCTCTAAGTCTTTGTGCTTTTGCTGTACTGTGTGTTAGAGCAGAAGCCATTCTGTCTTCTCTTTGATTTTGATAATGATCAGCTATTTATTTCACAGAATCAGAATCACAGAATGGTCCAGGTTGGAAAGGACCTCAAGGATCATGAATCTCCAACCCCCCCACCACAGGCAGGGCCACCAACCTCCACATTTAGTTCTAGACCAGGCTGCCCAGGGCCCCATCCAACCCAGCCTTGAACACCTCCAGGGACGGGGCATCCACAACCTCTCTGGGCAGCCTGCTCCAGCACCTCATCACTCCCATAGTAAAGATCTTAAGAATTTAACAAATTCTGAAGGTCATTTCTTAAGGAAATTCACATAGCAGACTGCTGGGAGATGCATCTATGGAACACACAGTTATCTTTGCTCTGACCAGCTTATCCTACTGCAAAACTTGGGCCATCTTGTGCATACCAGGGAGCAAATGGCATCCATGTTCAAGTGCCAACCATTCCCTCATCTCACTGGGACAGGTATAGGAAAAAAAGCAGACTCATTTATCAAGATGTGAGAGAAGTCAGCAACCAGCAGTCCTCAACGTAGCCCCCTGTGCACAAAAGGAAGGTGGTGCTGCTCTCTTTTTCTGGCTCAGTAGGCTAGTCCACAGTGAAAGAGCTTTTTTTATCCAGTACAGAATAAGGAACAACAGCATCAGTCATGAAAAGAAACAGGAGGAAAATGAAAAAACATATTACTACCCCTCTACCAATGCAATTTCTCTTGCTTCAAGCATACATCTCTGGCAGCAATCACAAGGGAATCCAAACCACATACCCATGAGCTCCCTCTCCATACTAAGCTTGCATTTCAAACTACACCTTTGGAGAACGGCACAGTACCTTGTTCAGTTTAGCAATTAAAGGCTCCAAGGACACCTGGTACTCCGCCATTCCAGGCCAAAGTGAAAAAAGCTCAAGTCTAAGAGGGAGGGGTACAGTGTGTCACTGTGGAAGGCAGAGTTCTCCAGCCCTTGCTGGAGGCTTTCACGTTTGTTTATACGTGGTGCAAGCATGAAGCTTCAGTACCATGGGGTGTGATTTTGTAATCAGTTTGAGCTGCCAAAAAAACCCACGAGTTAATATGGAGAAAGGTATTGAGCATTTCTTTGTCTGGCTCAACGTGCAAGCATTGCTGCCACAGGTGGGAAAGCTATGGGAGCACCCTTTCAGATGACACCTACCTGTAGGCCAGCTTAACCTTATCAAGCTGCAGATTGGGAAAGGTAATTCCAAAGCACATTCATTCTGAAGTCCTACTCTACAGTACCAGTTTGCACGCTTTGCAATATTTAAAACTCATTTCCTCCAGGCAAATGAGTTATTGCAGCACTTCACATTAACAGCCTTACTTCACAAAGGGAACAAGATAAGAGGATGCAGAAAGTCAATTACCATGGTCCAGTTAATGAACAGTAACAGTAACTCACTAAGCTGTTTCAAGCTGCTTTTGAAATTCTGAGCTGATAGCATGTGGTCGTTCCTGCATACTTCTGCCAGATAGCTTCTATTTTCCTGCTACTCCTTGTCCTTCCTCAGTTGGTATTTCAGTTCTGAGACAAAACACTATCTGTTAACTATCTAAAAAGGCAAACATGTCACGGAAGGACTTAAAAACTCAATACCTTATATTATAAGCCATTTCTTTTCTAATATATGGCTATGTTCTCTTCCCTCTTATTGTTTCCTACAAGTATCTATAACGTTTAGCCATAACTTCATATGAATTAAAACAAAGGACTTGGCATTCTCTTACAACTGCTCTGAGACCTTTCTAGAAGATTTAATTATTCCTTTTTGCTCTACTAAACATCTAAATAACTAAATAAAACCAAAGTTCGTTGACTCTGTACCACCCACACAAATATGTCTGCTACAGAAACAAAGAAAAAAGAGGAAAAAGTAAGAGTGCTCAGAACCACAGATATTTTTCTATGACCTTCCTACAAGTTACGACAACTGAAGTTGGATCTTAACTAAACTCTGACATGTTCCAAAGCATCCTGCAGGCCAAAAGCTGATCATGTAATTTAACTTGATTTCAATGTCAGGAAACTCAAGGTAGGACTATCAAAGCAGAAACAATTCAGAGGATTCTGTGAAACAAAATATTCTGTCTGTGTACCACCTACTCAAAGTCTGTCCTAAATATATCCATCTGCATCCTTGCTTTTCATACGTACAAGATACTACTCTTCTAGCCAAAACCAGGAAAAGTGCTCAGTTATCTTTTAAGAGGCTCAATAGCACAAAGTGCAAAGAAGCAAAAGCTATGAAACCTACTTTTTGTTCTGCTGTCCGCTTCTGTTTTTGTTGGCTCCTGAGTTGCTGTGGCTGGAGGTACTTTCTTCCCAACACTCTGAAAAAAAAAAAAATAGTTATTCTCCTTTAAGATCTGGAGGTTCATTTAAAAGTCAGATAACAAAAAAAATTTAATGGAAATGCAAAATATAGGAATAGAGACAGAAAAGAAACAGAGGCAAACTGAACTGTACAGAGATTTGTTTGTAGGATATTTGTTAGTTTTTTTTTTTTTTTTTAAACAACAAAAGTATAAGACCCATAATAATCCTCAAATCCTCCCTTGAAATTTTGTTTACTAATATTTTTAACCATCAACTCCTTAACACAGCATTAGGGTAAAGTCACAGAAGTTTCATTTGTGGATTCGGTGCCAACAGTAAAATTGAAAGAACTGAAAAAAAATCCCTTCATTTCTTTCCATACCGGGAGCATTCATCTCAGTCATTTCACGCTGACTGCGACTTTTAAGTTGACATCTCTTTATATGTTCCATATTTTTGCTTGCTTTAAGCAAAAATAACTACTTTACAGAGGATTATTATGATAATTATCAATTATCAACCTCAGCTACTCTGAAAGAACAGCAGAAAACATTGTTTGCCCACAGTGCAATAGAATTGTTGATAATCATCTTCAGGCATCTTAACCAACTTACATGCATGCCACCTCCTCTCTTCCTATCAGGAAAGCCGTCTAGCTTGAAAATCCAGATCACATGTAGTTGACAATATAAATAAAATTATTATTTCTTTATATGAGTACTTATAAGCCCAAGCTATAGTTCAGCATACTAGAAATATATAAACACAAGAAAAAGTACTCCATACTGCAGTGACTTTCAAAGTAAGAGGCAAGACAGCTAATACTTAGTCTTGAAAACGCTGGTGAATAAAACACTGGCCAATATGATAAGCAATAGGAATATAGCAGTTTAAATAGCTCAAAAGTTTCAGCGTACACAAAAAATAAGAAGAGCTCCATTTTTTATGCTGTGCCAAAACTTTTCTATGGAAAGGAACAAACATGGGTGCTTCTGGCTGGCAAAAGAAAGTGCAGCTGGAAGAGAAGCAATTTGGAGAGCTGTGCACACGACAGTCATCAAATGTGTGTTGACAAGCAAGACAAACTACAAATTGCAATACCCTCAAGTGTCTTGCTGCTACTTAACTTGTAAGTGGCAAAAGAAACAATGATGGGCTTGTAACTCTGCTTCCAATCCTGAGTTTTTTATGTGCTGGGAATGAGAACAAAATTCTACAGAACCTCCTAACTTCTTTGCTGAGGTAGGAACGACAAGAGAGAAGAATTGTCTGCAGCAGCAATCAGACAGGTAACAGAACAACCAGAGATGTCAGACTCCTGCAAATGAGGAGACAACAAAATTCAAGGAAAGAGCATGGGCTGGCTGTGCTGAAGAAACTAAGCCAAGAAAGATGAAGATGAAGAGCTGAGTCTGAGATCCAGCTGGAAAGCAACAAAAACTGCACTGGAAGAGATGCAGGAAGAATCTGAAGCTACTAAGCATTCACACAGACAAAGCACCTAATTCCTTTTGGATTAAACCTAAAATGTAGCCAGGAAAGCATCCAGGAAATAGGAGGAAGGAAGTAGTGTATTCCAGTACAACAGACAAGCTGCAATGTAAAACGAAATTTGAGACTTCTTATTTTATAGAAGTAGATGCAAGTTTAATGCTTGAATACATTCACTCATCTGCTTATATGGTGTAGTGCAGGTGATGTATCAGCATGAGGAACCAATTGACTCCTTGGGAGCAGAAAATCAAACATCACCCAAACGATGCTGCTGGTTATTTGGAGTTAGGAGGCAGGTCAGAAAGCAATTTTTGCAGCATGAACCAGAAGGCCCATAATAACCCCCCCTCCTGAAAGAGCCCTTCCTAACCACCAGGCTGCAAATGCAAGCAAATTTCTGCATTTTCCCTGTCTCTGTATATCTTGAAATCTTGGCTGCAGAGAGCTCTCGGAATCAGCAAAGAGAGAATCAGATTCTCCTCTACCTTAGTATCCCTGGTCTAGTGCTTCAGAGACACTTCTTTCCCTCTATGCTCCTCCAGCATGCTGACTGCTAAGTCTCCTTTCTAAGTGGTGGCAGTCAGCCAAGTTCAACCTACATTACTTTTAGGTCCCGTCACACAAGAAACATGTGTTGGAAACTGAGTTCAGATGTCCTGATTCCATGGCCAGGTTAACTCCCCAACACACACCAGAATGCAACAACAACATGGACTGAATTTAATCTCACTATTTCTGCAAGGCAAGTGTAATTAGATTATGTGGCTGTCAGACACAAATCCCTCTAATCGCCTGGCAAACAAATCCTAAAGATGAAAGGGGATGAGAATTCTTCTTGCTGCAGAAGCAGCTGATAGAAGCATGAATAATGACCGTGATCTGGTCTACAGATATTCAGAAGGTTGACAGAGATTTAAGCAGCAACTTGCCAGTCTAAAACTAGCTTGGTTTTATGAAGTCTATGGAAAGACAGTCGCCCATTAAATCACAGGTTCAGTTTAATGGCAGAGGCCTTGATGGCGATGTGGTACACTACAAATCCCTATCACTGCAGAGCAGTTTCCTCTGATACTGAATTAACAGTGATTACAGAAATGACTGAGGTGGTACACAAAGTCTCTCGGATGAGGTCACAGCATAACCTAAATTTTTATATTTCCCTTCATTTATGTACTTTGTCTTGTTGGCAATCCTTGTGACAGAGAGCAACACCAAAAAACTAAAGCAGACAGCGCACAGTATATACGTGAATTTTTCTCATGTGAGGGCACATGAGAAAACAGTTGCACTTCCCTGCAACTATTCAACCCTGACCACAGGAAGAAAAGTAGACCTGTGCACAAGTTTCCTCCTCCAGGATATTTTAAAATTGTATTTCAGGGTTTTTCATTGTTGTTGCTGGAAACTGACTTGTCTATTTACTTTAGTTACGCAGGTCCTGTATCTCTAGAAGATTTCATCTGAAAATTCACATCAAACTGTCACTTAAGCACCAGCTAGGTTGACATGGAAGATTCTGTAATACTTCTTTGTACTACAGGAACATAATTATCCTTTCACCCCCCTTTAAAAAATATGGGTTTCTCCTAGGAACAGCTTACGTACCCAGTAATAAAGGGAAAGAAATGGTTTACTCAGCATCAGGATTTATTCTGGAAGGCATATTGAAGTCCTTATTCCAGATAAAATACTTTGGGACTGTTATTTGAAAATAAAACTCTGTGAAGATGTTCTTAAGGAAGACACAGAATATTCATGGATTCATCCGTATGAGCTGGAAACACTGCTGTTTTTAAGCTTAATATCATTTGTCAGGTTGAATAGCGAAAATATAACAAAACGCACTGATGCTTTTATACAGAGGAAGAATAGAGTCGAGAAGTGTCAGAAAACCTCATGGATTGGGTCAGGGGAATAAATGCACCACGTTTCTTCGACTACAATACTTCCTTTAACATTCAACTACTATTTCTGAATGTTGTTCACGTGCATCAGAATTTTCTTTATACATAGGTTTATGTGCAAATCTAAGCCCAGTGGTAGCAAAAATATAAAAGCTTTATTCTTTATTGTACTCCTGATGCACCATTTCGTAACTGAGAGCATTTTTCTCACAAAGAAATAGAAACAGCTGCTAGATTCTTCCAGGCGTGGATGAGTCTACATATAAACAAGCTTCTTGGTGAGCATATTTAACATTGGTGTTTTGGTGGGGGGGGGGAGGGAGGGAGAGGAGTCAAATTGGTTTGCTGTTTTTTTTTTTCCCAACGTTTCCAGTGTTTATGGCACATTATCAAGTCCTTTTTGCTTCCAACCTGGACTACCCCAAATTCAGAAAAACATTAAGAGTGCTAACATTAAAAAAAAAACAAAAACAGAAGGTTTTCAGATGTCCAAATGCCCTTACTTTGTCAGAGACCTGTAAAATAAGAGAGACATCTGGAATTTTTTTTTTCACCGAGACACCAACCTTCAGCTCCAGATGAAATACTTTCTGTGACAGTATGACCAAGTATTTACTACCCTGGGGTTTCCCAAAAGGACAGAGTTAAGTGTTTTCCTAAAAGGTCATCACACAGCACTTCAAAAAGGGTAATGGGAATTTTAAGAAGCCTTTATAGAGAAAATAAAAATTCTTTAGGGACAGTGTGAATAAGTACCTGCTTGCACATTTGACCGACTTCGTTGTCTAAATAGCTTCTTCCTCCTGCCAACTTTCTACTCATCCATGCTTTGGTATAAATACCATCCACATGCTTCTGAACTATAATTAGTAATATTTTTAGTATCAGCTGGATAGATACAGTCTGTTCAATGCATGCACAGCTAATATGGAGAGCTCCAGCTGCCCAAGCCGCACACATGTCTGTCGATATCACCTATGAGGAAATTCCAACCACAACACAAGGTAATTTCCTTAAACTAGGTTAGATGAATGAACGAGGCAGGAAACAAGTGTTCATCGAGTCCTCAATTACAAACACACTGTCACAAGGACAGGCAAGCAAAATAGCTTTTATTCTTCTGCTTGCTTGTTTTCTTCAAGCTTGCACAGAGTGGCAGGATGCAGCATGTCTCATAACTGCTGTGAGCAAGAGAAGGAGCAGCTCCAGTGTTGCCCAAGGCTACCCACTCAAGGTGGCCAAATGCAGAGGAGCCACCTTCAGTTACCAACTCCTGTTACCTCCCTCTGCAGTGGGAGAGGAGAGAACTAGCCTCTGTTAAAATGTGTTGTAGATGGGAAGAAAGAAGAAAAGAGTTTGCAAGTTATCTGCTTCCCTCAATAGCTGCACAAACTACTGGTATAGAACTGAGGCATGGAAATTAGTGCATATAGGGGTAAGGTGAAAACCAGCAGCAGTGCTCATTTATACCAGCTCAAGCTCATCAGGAAAGTATGGTAAGCATCTCAGTGTGCTTCAGTAACTCCAAAGGATCATGCTCAAGGCAAACCAAGTAAACGCTGCAACAGTGTTGGCTTCTACAACATTCAAAAAATGAAATAGGAATGATGTTCAGA